CTTACCTCCACGGGGTGCACCCTGGGCAACGTATATTCATACGGCAAAAAAGTCTATTAACTGGCAGTTGACTTCTCACCTCAAACTACCATCACCTCACTCTATGCCATATTCGACTATTTCCACAGTACTCACCTCACCTTTGTTCTACCTTTGTGTTTGTCTCTTACATCTTTGAAACACTCTTCTGTTCCCCCCTCTCGACTTTTTTCAATTTGATGTTCCTTCCCCTCTGTGAAGCCTGAAGTCAACTAAAGGGCTAATGATAACCATCAAGACGCCTGCCATTTGATACAAATACTTAACTAATCTTCCAATATATACACGCACATGTATGTTTTTTTATTTCTAATGTACATTATCAAATGTCAGGCTTTATGTAAGTTATCAATAGCTCTTTAGTTGATTTCGGGCTTCACAGAGGGAAGGAGCCTCAAAGTCGCAAAAGTAGATGGGGAGGGGGTGGGAGAACAGAAAAGTGATTCACAGATGAAAAAGAGACAGACAAAAAGGTAGAGAAAAGGTAAGATGAGATTAGTACTGTGGAAGTGGTCGAATATGGCATGCAGTCTGGTTATGGTTGTTTATAGACTTTTGCATATGAGTATACGTTTCCCAGGGTGCATCACGTGGAGGTAAATCTATCGCTCACCCCGTTTTTGGCTATCTTAAAAAATGCTTAAAGCCGTCATGTCTCACCCTTTTTTCAATAGCGCTAATTTTTAAAAGAATTTTGGCATTTGATTTATCCATTAGGTTACTCTATAAATGTCCACTCCGAGATAGGAAACGTTATTGATTTTTCCTGAATCAAACTCTAAATCATTGCCTCCACTTTTCATCCAGTTGTTTATATTTCTTAAATGCCTCTATTAGTTTAGTGTTGCCATATACCAGATCAAATTATCATAAATCATCAGCGATTTAACCCCCCTTTAAATGATATATTTCAGGCAATTCGTATATGACAAGGCTCTTGAGGAAATTATGGAATTAAAGCGCTTCGCTAAACCCATGGAAGTTCTGGTTTCTTCCGAAGTTACAACGGATCTGAGGAGTATTCTCACTGATTGCAAAGATTATACTCTTTCAGGCACTCACCACGTTGAAATATGGGTATGTTATTGTAGTATTTTAGTGAAAGAAACTATTTATTTCCAAATAATGCAAACCTATCATAAACGGCTTTCCCTGAATAGAAGTTATGACACAGTTTACAAATGTGTGGCAAGAAAGAATATTGTAGTGAAATAAGAAAACGTGTACCTTGAGCTCTTCGAGATAGTCTTAAACTTATGATCGATATCTATCATTAAAATTTCTCAGAATTGAAGGAGTCATGCTTGAAACTCTTTGTTCTATCGATTTTGACTGATTTACATTAGGTAAATTCAGACTATAAATTTGTTTACTTATTTATAAGTTTGAACTTTTCTTCACCTTTAAGTTATTAAAAGCCCTCGAATTTTGTGATTTTAGGGGTGCAAGAAAATGGAACTCTACGTTCTTCGATGAGACGAAGATTACAACGCCACAGTGATGCTAGTATCTTACTTCAAGTCAGGCTCATTTAAAGTGGAAAACTGCCACAGTATTTGAAAAATTGTTCATTTTCTCTTATAAACATAATAAATGATCTTACGATTAATGAGAACAACGCATGCTCACTATTTTACTGAAAATAATTCAACCTATTTAAATTCAACTCGCTACCTTATGGGATAATTTCAATGGCAGTTTCATGGCTATCGAAATCGATTGTTGCATTTCGGTAGGTAATTCAACTACTGGCCATTTATAGGGAGGTAGAAAGTAGGAATTTTAATTCAAAATGTCTAATTAACTACCCAAGTTTATATTATGAAAATAGTTTCCGATCAAATGTCAAGCACTGATATAATACGGATCACAGGGTTTAACTCAAGAAGCCAAATTGTTCCTCTATCCAGTGCCCCCAATCGTTACAACTGGTCAAAATTTGACGTCGCGTCCTAAATTCAAAGTAAATGAACTCAAGTTCTAATGCACTTCATTGTGGATGATAACAAATTCCTCGTCACTTGTTTTTTTTCAAAATATTTCAATCGCTTATCACCTAAGTAACAAATTTCTAGGTAAAGTACTAATGTTAGGATTTACCACTTCCATGTTTTTAAATCACTCTCAATGGTACGTGAGCAATTATAATATTACTTATTTTCCTTGAAAGCTAGTCAGGTCTAAATTTGGGGAAGGAAATGGCGACATGCCTAATTAGGACAATGGAAATCACCGGAGTTAATTCATTATGATAACAGCATCAACAATAAACTATGCATTAAGCTCTAACGGAAAGCTATGGTACATGCAAGCCAATAGACAACTAGATAGGCATATTTACTGTTTTCAAGCCATTTAATACATTATTGTCTACTTCAGAAACAATTAACGCCCTCAATGAAGGGAAATAAAACAGCCTGAAATATAACTGAAGCGAAGTGGAAAAGTAATTTGGGAAAGTACTGTCTTGATTTCAATAGAAAACTGCTAACAAATGGTTGTAAAACAAAATTGGTCAATAAAGATATCAATAATAAGAAAAAGATAATCTAGTCTTCGTTGGCACGACCTCCTGTAGAAAGAGTTTGTAAAGTTTTCTTACACGAGCCAATCGTAGATACACAAGATCCAATTTTATCAAAAAGACTCATTATTTCCATTCCAAATTCTTGAGCCTTGTCATCGATTTCCTTTTGCTCATTCAAAACTTGTTTTTCCAGTTCCGTAAAAAGACGATCAATCTGAAACAAATTAATATTATTGTTATGTAAGTACTTGTCCTATCACATATTCTCTACAAGCCTGAAGGTTTTGCCAAAAAGAACCACGTGAGCTTTCTAAGTGATCCATTAGGTCGTGGGTGCGATTTTCAATATCGGTTTTAAAGACCTCATACTGTTTAGAGCAGTCCGTTGTCTCTTCCATAGCTAGAAGAAAAGTAAAATTGGTAAGAAATTCAATTCTTAAACAAAATGGCAATATATTGGATGAATTTAACTGGATAAGAAACCCCCCAAAATGTTCGCGGAAACTCAATAACAAATTCAAATCTTTCATTGCAAATTTAGTGGGCAGAAATTTCATACGTCAAAATCTATTATTTAATACAATTTAATTTAGAAGCAATTTCGATTTTATTTTTATCATAAATTATTTCATATTAGAGCGTAAAGGTAATTTCTGACAAATACAATATCGTTAGCCTTACAACGATGCAATGAGGTATTTAGTACGAGCACGTGTGGTATGGCGAGTTTGAGTTTTAGCATATTTAACTTTAAAGTCCTATTAATCGTTTCTTTTGATCGCATTTTGGGCAAATTTGGAAAATAACCATTCATTTTCCTTTAGCACGAAACAGTAAGCGTTATATGAGTTTTTTAATTTACCTTCATTGTTTTGATGATAGAAGCCCAGAAGACATTAGCAAATGTACATTCTTTGAAAACGACTAGATATCTTTTAGTAAGAGACATCAAGAAGGTGTCTGATTTTAGCGCAATTACTATATATACTTTTTACTGCATAGTCAGTTTAGAGCACAAATCGAAAGTGAAATGATTAACAGATTTATTCTAGTAATTTCCTGCTAACTAACGTAATTACAAGTTATTTTATAACTAGAAATTTAAATTGAACAAATGTTTACAGTCTCTTAACTACAAAATTAAAACTAGATAGAAATTTAGATCTGAAATATTGCAAATTACATTTCACTCGTTTCAAAAAAACAAATTAATATGTCTACGTGCTTTTAGCGATATACTAAAGTACTTGATCATGTGCAATGTTTCCTATTTGAAATAAATATTACCGATATGTCCATCATCAAAAATATCATGTATATCTCCAGAAAAACCCATCTAAAACTTTCTAAATTGCTTTGTTCGACTCAATTATTAGATGGTTGCAAAAATTTATCTTCAAATTGTCATTTCCATTATAAATTAAAGTATTTCGCACATTGAAGTCTAAATAAAATGATAGTCAAAAAATCCATATATATGTCATTAATATAGCGATATAAATTGGGTGAATTCATAATATCTCCCATTGATCAAAAGCTTTATATTTAAGTGTTATGAATAATCCTGTTATTTTTTCTAAGTCCAACAAAATATATTTTCATTTAACTTTTTTAAAATTGGTGGAGGGAGAGGGGGATATTAAACAATAAAGCGTTAAACTGAGACATGACAACAGTCAGATCTAAAGAATAATCTGCATATTATCTTAGACAAAATATGTATTAAAATAGGCGGCTTTTGATTCGTTTCCGCCAAGGTCGCGTTGGCGCTGGTTTAATAATGAGGGCTTTCGCATGTGCAGTTGGGAAGCTTTGCTTTTTGCCAACACTGCCAGTTACTGGAAGAAATTTTTTCACCTCCAGTGTAAGAAATTTTTCATCGAAAATAACCATTGCTCCCTATCTCCTTGACCGGACTAAGCCCGCAGAGGAAATTTTATCCAACTTATCTTCCAACGATGCGGACCGCCTCGCGTATATCAAGGCTGAACACAGTATGTTGGTTGCCAGTGGCAAGGACGTTCCACTGGATTTGACACCATTAGAATATCTTGAACTTTTATGTTGCCCTTCTGTCAGTGCTAGAAATAGATTCTACCTGTTCAGATTCAAAGTTGCTAAAATGAAAGAGGCAAAGAGAGCAAAGAAGACGTCCCGAATCATTGAGGAGGTAATAATTTATTTTATCGTCTTATTATTTAGTCTCCCAGTGAGCATATTCAAAAAAATCAAATACTTCGAATGATTAGGTCTGCACCCATTCGGGCTCACCACGATGATTGGTTAATTGCTGAACTGAGGACAGCTGAAGATTCTGCTCAAACTCTGGTTTTCGATTGTTCCCACGAAGAAGAAATGCGTATTTCTGATCAAAAGAATCTTGCTCGCCAACTTGCTATGGCTTTTGCACATAATCGTACACAGCGTCCGTTTCCTTTTCACTTCATGTTCACAAGCCTTGTTCCTGGTTCGAATCAATATAAATTCCTTGAAGAGGCTTTTGGTATTGGAGTTCCGGTAAGCTATTTCACCTGCATTTTAATGGTTTTCTATCTTATTGAAAATATGGATTTCATCCCAGTCTAGCAGATGTAACAGCTTGGAAGTTTGCCCTTTTACTGTGAGACCAGACCATTTTAGTGAGGTTATCAAAGACCGGAGACTGATTTATCTGAGTCCAAATGCTTCACGAGCTTTTGAAATTGGAGAATACGATCATGATGCCGTCTACGTTGTGGGTGGGATAGTTGACAAGGCTGTTCGTAGGCCTGTTACTCATGCTAAGGCTAGACGTGCTGGTAAGCTATCACCATTTTAGTGATATAAAACAGTCTACTGATATAAAGCAAGTATAACATGTATTTTAAATTCACAGGTTGGGAATGTATTCGATTGCCTTTAGAGCGTTATGTTAATTGGCGCTCGGGTAATAAAACACTTACCCTAGTTGCCATTCACTCAATCCTTGCCACAGCCAAAGCAACTAATGGTGACTGGAAGACAGCTCTTGAACAAAATATTCCTTCCCGTTTCCTTCGAGATCACGATGCAGTTCAAAAGGACATCAACAGACTCTTCCGTAGTATCTGATTTATCTTGTACAGTATTTTTATGTATGGTTATGCGAGCTTTACTGTATAATTAAAAGTCCTATAGAACCCCTTTTCCTATCTTTTTTCGCCAGTGTTCTTGCTTTTTAGCAAATTTAATTCTTTATGAATTTTGTTCGGCATTTGATAGACGCTGATTGTAGGGTTAGAAATAACTCTTAAGGGTGCTTATTTATTTTGAGTGAAAATTTCATTATGCTCACGTATTTACGATTAGTGATCATTGTCTTTTACTTCGTTTTTCCTATATAAAAGGAGATGGGGCATTATCTACGGATTTTGCTTGCCTCAGCATAAATTTTCCTTTGATTTAGTTTAAATAATTAGAGATTGAACAAGCCGTCGAATTAGAACCCTAAACAAAAAACTATTTTTTAAATGACTGCCCTAGAGGGTCTTCATCCACAGTCAGTTTGTTTCTCCCCACTCCTTTCAAATGCTCTAGGATTGACGTTTGTGGTGGCACGTTATTGGTAACTGAGTCGGTGAAGAATGCTAGCCAAGGGAGAAATTGCAGGAGGTGGGTTTCTGGACCCAGGAGGTGACGGAATAGAGAGTATTTTAGGGGTAAAACAAACGAATGTTCCCTCAGCCCAGTGTTACAACGTGTAAAGGAGGGTGGTATGGCGTAATGTTTCACAATAACTTGTACTGGCGTTGGCTAGAGTCAAAGATTTTTTAACGTAACCGAATTATTAGTTGAAACAATGAATCGACGAGCGTTCATTTTTACTCTATGTCTAGCCAATAACATTTATTTTATTTATTTCAAATGGCAGGCGTTTTGATAGTTATCATTAGCCATTTAGCTGACTTCAGGCTTCACAGAGAAGCGGGGGAACATCAAAGTGACAAAAAGTCGAGAGGGGGGCGGGACAGATAATGATTCACAGATGTGACAGAGACAGACAGACAGTCAAGGAGGCAGCGAAAAGGTAAGATGAGTACTGTGAAAGGGGTCGAATATGGCATACAGTGGGGTGATGACAGTTTTAAGTCAGAAGTCAACTCCCAGCTAATAAACATTTTTGCCGTATGAGTGCACCACGTGGAGGTAGGTCTGTCACACACCCCTTAGTCAATAACATCATCCTATGTTTTGCCCTTTACTTTAAAAGTGCTGAAGGAACGCGCCTTTTAATAAGAACACCATGAATTTTCTTAAGCGAACCGAG